ATCTTGATGATGTCATTGTTTTTAGCCGTACCTTTGATCAACATATTGAACATCTTAGGAAAGTTCTTCGTCAAATGAGAGAACATGGAGTGAAATTGAAGCCAAGAAAATGTAAAGTGTTTCGAAAAGAGGTTAAGTTTCTCGGTAGAGTTGTTTCGTCAGAAGGATATAAATTAGACATTGATAGTATAAAACCAATACTAAATTTGCAAAATTCGACTCCAAGAACAGCTAGAGATGTACGACAACTTGTCGGACTTCTCGGATAATACAGACGGTATATAAAAGATTTCACTCGTATTGCTAAGCCTGTTTACGATCTTCTAGCCATACAACTTAATTCAAAGATGAAACGAAATGAAAAATCAGCGCGTAAAGCAAAAGCTTCATCGAAACAGCTACCGTCAATCCATATTATTCAGTGGACAGAACAACATCAATCAATTTTAGACCTATTGATAAAGCAACTAACATCCCCTCCAATAATGGCTTATCCATCTTTCAATGATCCATTTATTCTACATACAGATGCATCCGAAGTGGGCTTAGGAGCTGTGCTTTATCAAAAACAGAATGGTGTTCTAAAAGTTATCGCATATGGGTCTCATACATTGAGTCCAGCAGAGAAAAATTATCACTTACATTCCGGAAAACTAGAATTTCTAGCTCTAAAATGGTCAATATGCGAACAATTCCGTGATTACTTATACTATGCTCCGTCGTGTGTCGTCTATACGGATAATAACCCGCTTACCTATGTCTTGTCGTCTGCTAAATTGAATGCACCAGGTTAACGTTGGATAAATGACCTAGCTGATTTTTAATTTTCTATTAAGTGTCGCCCAGGTTCAGCCAATTGTGATGCCGATACTTTGTCAAGAGTACCGTTAGACTTTGAATCCTACATGAACACGTGTACCAAAGAACTTTCGACCGCTGAAAGGCAGGCTGTAACAGGTGCTGCAAACTTTATCAACATAGGGCAATCAAACTGGGTCTCCGCTATAACAAATAGCAAAAATGTGTCTGATTTACAAGACTTAACAAAGGAGCCAAACTTTAAACGAATTGATGCAAATGACTTACGCCAATCTCAAATAGATGACCACGTTATTAGCAGAGTCAGATATTTTGTGAGTAAGAGAAAAAACTTCCGCTAAAGAAACCTCCTCGGAATTGCCAAATGTTAAACGATTCCTCTATGATAGGCATAAATTAGAGTTCTCAGATATTGAATTTTCCATTAGGAATATCTGCAGTTGCATTCGTCAAAGACGTCCCGCCATGCAGTCAAAAGCTCCGTTACAATCTATCACAACGACATCTCCATTCTAACTCGTTTCTATCGATTTTGTTCATCTTGAACGCAGCCAGGGAGGTTACGAATACATATTAGTCATAATGGACCATTTCATGCGATTTGCACAGGCTTACCCAACAAAGAACAAATCGGCAAAAATCGCTGCTGTAAAACTTTACAATGATTTCATACTTCGTTTCGGTTTCCCAGTCACTATCCATCACGACCAAGGAGGTGAATTCGAGAACAGGCTCTTCGATAGGCTTCAAGAACTATGCAATATCAAACATTCGCGCACAACTCCATATCACCCGCAAGGAAACGGCAAGTTGAGCGATTCAACAGAACCTTGTTATCGATGTTATGTACTCTACCGGAATCTTATGAAGCTCGCTGGCATCAGCACTTAAATAAAGTTGTAAATGTATATAATTGTACGCGCCATGATACCACTGGATTTTCGCCATTTTACTTGCTTTTCGGAAGACAACCTCGTTTACCTATAGATTTGTTGTTCCACGTTGAGACATCATCTCCAGCCGGTAGCCATTTTGAATATGCAGAACAGAAGAAGAAAGCAATGGAGGAAGCGTATGAAATAGTAAAGAAACGAGCAGGAGCGAGTGCATCAAGGAATAGAGAGAAATATGATAAAGCAGTACAATCCGTCGAGTTAAAGCCAAACGATAGAGTCCTCGTTCGTAATATGTCGGAGAGGGGAGGACCAGGAAAATTGAGAGCAAATTGGGAAAAGGATATCCACGTTGTTGTACGTCGTATGGATCCTTGATCCTTCGTCGCCAGTTTACGAAGTAAAACGAGAAAATGGAGAAGGCACAAAACGGGTCCTACATTGAAATCTTTTGCTACCTTGTAATGAATTACCAATAGACGACTCGTCACAACAACTTGGTAGTCGCAGGATTCGAAAATCTAAACGGCGCCGTACACGTCTTTTAACTCGAGAAAATAGTCGCCCAGCCGATGAAGACAGTTCCGAAGAAGAAGAAATCGTGCTCTTACCAAATCGTTTGCCATCAACAGAAGCTGAAATTGATATATCTCTACGATACAAGAAGAGAACGACGCTCTCCCCAAGATGAACGTAGAGCTGCTTGAGAATGTACAGCCAGAGGACAGAATCGAAGATAATCCAATCGAAACTCGTGAATCAGCACCATTAACACGGCCAGTACCGAATAATCCGGAAAACATTGTAAATGAAGAACCCCTTCTCAGTACAACAGAAGAGCCTATCACATCGTCGGAACGACCAGTTCGTTTACGCCAAATACCGAATCGTTTATCGTACTACGCGCCGGGACAAGCATATTCCGTTCAAGCTTCGACTTTGAATACTGTAAATAATGAACCATTTGTCGATGATCAACCTATACTCGTTCGTCTTCCATTGAATAATCAAGTAATGACTACATTCGTTTATCCATCGATGCCACTCTTCACGCCGTCTTGGCGCCAGCCAATACAGAACTTTGTATAACAGTCGTTCGTTGTTCGAACACCGATTTACATTTAACTATTTAATCAACTTTTTGTATATATTTCATCAAAAAAAACGTGCTACTGCTCGCTACTTCATCTTGCTATGAAAGAATTTCATACGATTTTACCAAAATAGCGATGTCTTTTCAAAAAACTGACACTGACCAATAATTTCGTTTTGTTACATATATCGTATTTGATTACAGCTGCAGTGTAATCATGTAACAGTTGTTGACGTGATGGAGAACACTTTCAGTCAAATATTGTCTTCGGGATTGTTCATGTCAGACGTGACGTTACAAACCAGACTTAAATTTGATTCGTTTTGGAAGTTACAGTAAGTAAAGAACATTTTGTCAGTTTGCCAGGAGATCTTACTAGTCAAATTCCTTTTCACTTAAAGAACTACAGAAGGTCGATTTGTTATTGCAGAAGAAGATGCGTAATATAACTTGGCACAAGACAAAGATCTTGAAGGAACCTTTTTATGTTTATTTTATGTCGGGGACGACATTCTTTTAGTAGGGGAGAATGTAAGGACATGACCTTTTAACCTTTTGTATAGACAATAAAAGATGCTTAATGCCTATTGTGTACATAGTAAATAAACAGTCGTTGAAAAGTTGTTGACATACGTAGTCAAGTTTCGTTGTCAAGATAACACACGTTTGTTCAAGTTTTATGTTTCAAGTGAAGTAAAGATGAGTTTTGCACATTTCGAGGGTTTTCTATGATTGTGTACCGAACCTGCGCATGGGAAAATAATACCCATAGATACGAAGAGTTACAAAAGTCTTACAATCACGAAGAGTTACAATCCTGATAAAATAGAAACTAAAATGCTGAAGCGCTTCAATCCTTAAAAAAAATTGGATTCTGGAATGCTTGTCGGGGATTTTGCTCCAAGGAGAACGGAATTAGTTTTAAAACATTTGAATCCTGTTTGTTATTTTTAGATATTTGATTAAAACTGTGGTGAATCAGTTTTGAAGCGTAGTGCTTCCTCACTTTACACAATTCAAAATGTAAGCGTTAGATGAATTTCAGCGGTAGAGCACTTGACGTCGGTTATTTTCCCGCACTCTCTATTAATTATCTTCGAAATCCTGTTGTCTGTAAACTTTCTCTTCAACCCTATCCAGTGTTGGGGCTGCGATGGCCTTCCTGGTGTGGGCAGTCTTCTCTCATTCTTCAGGTCCTCTGCACTATGTGATGGAGCTGCGATGGCTCCCCTGTGTAATCGGTAAAAGAGAGGGGCAGTGCGGGTGAATGACTCGGCCTTGGGTGTTGGCTTGAAAGCACGACCCGATAGCTCAGCGGTAGAGCACTTGACGTACAAAGTCAGGGGTCGTGACACAGAATAGAAATAGGCAGAAGGGTAACTCTTGTCGGTTCCTTTGTTGTTTTTGAAGCCTGTAGCAAACAAAAGAAATTTGCATTTCCCCTTTAACCTCGTTTTCATTCTGTGACTTGGCCACTGAGCCACTGACACAAATGTAGTTATGGCGGATGGTCGTAACGTATGCTGTTGTTGTGAAACGATTGGAGCATTATACTTGCCTTGGACTTTTAATGGTAGAAATATTGTGCTTGTCGACCCTGTAAAAAATTTCTTCCATCTTTGACAGACGTTTCTGCAAAGTTTTAGAGATATTTCAAGCGAATCGATTTGATGAAGAGCCTAATACAGGATGATCTGATTAACCTTGTTTTGCGAACGTACAGTTTCAAACTTGTTGAAGTTTTGTGTATGAAAGCTGGGGCTTAGGTTATATCAGCAGTTATTGAATAGATTGTTGTAAAATCAGTTCTCGCATGTTGTTCCCTTGGCCCACGTACTACTATAAAATAGCAGTGCGCGTGTATGGACATTAATCAAATATTTCTTTTCTAAAATCGAGCAAAAGACGGGGCTGATAAGAAAAGATTCTAATGCATAATATTATGTGAATTTGTTTTAAAACTTTAATTTTAATAATATTATGTGAATATTTCTTATTCATGAATATTAAGTTGATGATGAAACCTGTATTGCAAATACAGCAAAACACAATTTCTAACAACCACCGGTTTCGCCCAATTTCAGGGCTCATCAGTGCAGCTAGACATATTTAACATGTTCTTTTTTTAAACAGTTTCAGGAAAATTTTCCTTGTTCAATATTCCAAAATAATCAATGTCAGCTGCAGACCGGAAAACCTACCAAAAGTAATAGAATTTCAAACTTCTCCAGGAAATCTATTTTTCTGGGCTGTCTGGAAAACATATAAATAACCAATGATATACCAGAAATTGCAAATTCCTTTCTACAGTTGGGGAGTTTAAATATTTGTATATTTCTTCACCGTCACCCTGGTCACGGGGGGCTAAAGAGGTAGTTTACACTTGCCCAAAGTGCAACCCCAAAGCTAGCAGAGGGAAAGAGGTGCTTCATTTCTCTTTTTCTAGATTCATTGATCTAGCCTGCTACCCTTTAGCTATCCAAATTAGCCCATAGAAAGTAGTTGATAAAATACATCCTATCCAGTGGCGGACACTTGGGGGGGCGAGGGGGGGCGACCGCCCCCCCAATACTTTAGAGAACAATGGTCTTTTGTTCTAAAACAATGGGAAATGTGACGTCATCTTATTAAAACAATAGGCTTGCCCCCCCAATATTTGACCAAGTGTCCGCCACTGATCCTATCACATCAGTGGAGGGTAAATGGATAAAGGGCACAAAAGAAGATACAAATAAGATGACAGGTAATAGTGAGATTTGTAATTGTATGTTAAGTTTAAATGAAAATTAAATGTTTCCATTATTATGCAACTTGCTGTTATATGAATTAAAATGCCAATTCAAAAATGTATCTTTTGTGAATCTTTCTATAATATCTCTTGGCATATTTTGATATTCCTGCAACTCTTTGATCCAAATGTGTGACACACTGTATTGATCAGAAACACAATCGGTATTTTATCTCTAAACTTTCCAACATTGCCATTGGTACTACCTATTACATCATTTTTTCAAAAGCAAGCCATATGTTCAAACCCATAATGATATCCTTTTTAGACCTGGTTGCTCTTTTTCTAAGTATTCCTCCTTGTTTGACATTTGTAAAATTGTTAATGGTCGTATCTTGTAAACCCAGTCTAGCCAGTTGCAAACTGCCTGCAATTGGTAACTGTACTGTTTATAACTGATTATTTTTAAAACTGTGTTTGCTAATTTTTCTATCAGATCCCTAGTTTATATCACCATATTCGATTTTATGTCCTTTTTACATGTTGGCATGTGTGGGATAGTTTATGAAAAATTGACATATTCTTTGCCATGTCTCTAATGACACCTTTTTTGCTTCAGATGTGACTTGATTACTAATACAACTTACTGAAATTCATAGCAATTTTCTTATTGCCTTCAGCTTTAACTGACCAAGTTTCACTGCCATACACCTAACATTCTCTGCTTCAGACAACCCCCAAAACAGTCAAAGGGCCAACAACGTTTTTTAATATTTTGTTGTGCTGCTTACAGACCTTTGCTTTGCAAACCAGGCTATCCAATTGCAAAGTATCTTTAATAGTGAGATTTGTAATTGTAGTTTTAGTTGAACTAAAGATGAAATGTTTCCATCATTACCCAAACTCAAAGTCTTTGAGAAAAAACTGCATACATGTAAACACAAATATCTGCAAATCACAAATGAACAACTTTGAGATATTTTCTGCTCTTTCTTGTAGTTGATGCCAATTCTCTATTTCCAAATTTAATACAATAATAAATCCTCAGTCTTATGAACAGCATAACCATATATCTCTTGTCAAACTGCACACATTGAATATTTAATATTTCCTTTTTCCAAGATTTCAAGGATTTCACTTCCAATTGATTTAACCTTCCTTAAATTTCTGAAATATCTAACAAAAATATCTTCCAACTTTATTAAAAAGTCCATCATTGCCTTTGAGGGAACTGTGAGTCCTCCAAATAAATTTGTATCAGTGTCATAGGCTTTAAAAACAAGAAATAACTTCCTTTTATCATCAAGGTGATTGTCAGTTAGATATGATTTACAAGTACTGCATTGGTGTCTTTCAAAAGTTCGCTTCAGTAAAAAGCCAGCAACATAGGCTAACGAGTTGTGTTTTATTACTTTGCTTTGTATGTCCTCTGTTGTATATTCAGAAGAAATAAATTTAAGTGGAGACATGCTTTCTGTTGCTAATGGCACAATATCATTTACGCTAGAAAGTTCTGTTAATGGATGATCAGCATCCTCTTCACAGTTTCCACTGGTAATTTTCAAAAGGTTTGTATGGAAAAGCTTTCTGTAAGCCCTTTTAAACTGAATGGGGGTTGAATTGTCTGAATTTCCACCTTGCTGCCTGATGGATCCAAAAAAATTTTCAAGTGAATCTTGATTTAACTGCCTGGTTACTAAGAAAGATATGGTGCCAGACTGAAACAATTTTTCTCACAGACTGATCATTGAATTAAGTGTAATTAACCACCCATTCAGGCATTTCAATTTATTTGTCTTGTCTTCCTTTGTTGACTTATTAGTAACTTTTAAGGATTTGAAAAGCTGGATTCCATCTTTCATTATCTTAAGATGTGGAGATGCTTGAGAGAAAGGTCTGCGCTGTTTTTTTGCATCTTTGAAACTTAGTGAATTGCAGGTGTCAAAGATCTTATCAACTCTCTCCAAAAATTCAGCTGTACCAATTGCACTTTTAGAAAGACCACCAAGGCTTGCATACAGAGTAATACCAGCAGCGACAGAATGACTAAATATTTGAGCAGCAAGCTTGACTCTCATTTTCATAAAGCCACTAGGATTAATGTGCCTTTCTGTTAGCTTAGGGGCAGTCCTGATTGCTTGTTTTTGCTCCTAATTATAAAAAGATTTGATGTCATCCCAGTTTGCCTCTTTGTTTTCAAATTCGAAATTGTACTTTAAAAGATTGTTGCGGACTGACTTAAGAAGATGTGGAGGATCAAAAATCACAAAGTAGTTTTTGCCTCTCATTTGAATGTATGGCTGTTCTGCAGTTACATTTTCAGACTGGATGAAAGATAAAAAAATTTGAACCTTGGTCACTGATGATGGAAACAACATTCAATCCCATAGATTCTAAATGAAGAAGGGCTTCACTCATTATATCTTTTAGCCTATAGGCATCACAAGATTCATTAACAAGAAAATATGCAATAGGCTGTTTCCAGTTATGAAGAATTCCCTTAGCCATCAATACCAAAGCAGAGTTAGCAACTAGACCAGATGACTTACCGTCACCAAAGTCCTCCAAGCCAACCAAATGATCCTTAGATATATCATAGAACAGGTGGCTTTTCAGTGAAATTTCATCCATCAAAAGAGCAAATCTTACCTGCTGCTGGAAGTGACTCTGCTCTCTGCTTTATAACATAGAGAGACTTCTCAGTAAATCCAACATCTGAAGCAAATTTTGCCACAGTGTTGGTTAGAGTCTTCTTGCTAGGTAAGTTAAAAAGCTTTGCTAGAAATCTGTATGCCTTTCCACTGATGTGATATAATGTCAAAGCCCAGGCCTTAAAATTATCATCAAATCATCTACCTTTTGAATGATAGCATGAAAGTTTTAATTGTGTTTTTAAAAAGTTCAGGAGGTGAGGGGAAACTACACCCTCTAGTAGCTTCAATGCTTTCTTAATTCTCTGACCTTTTTTCAATCCTTTAGATGGGGAGGTTTTGGTTATCAGCTTTAAAGATAACCTTCGCAACTTCTGAATTTTTTGTTTTAAGATATTTCTTAATTTTTTTTCCGAGGGGTCTCAATTGGTGGTAAAGATGGTCTTTCATGAGACTGAATACCATTAGAAGGCACTTCTGTGGCAAAGTCATGATTTTTCATTTCTGAAAATAAATATAAAAAAGCAATGAAAAAACCAGATGAAATGTAATTAGTAGAAAATTAGACGAAAACAATTTGCAGAAGAAAGAACCAAATGTGTTGAGAAGTAGTAACAGAACCTTTAATAATAAAACTAATGAACAGTCATACTCACCAGTAGGCAATGGAATGGAGTCATCATTGTCGTTTGTAGAACTTTCAATGTCATCATCTAAGAGAAAAATATGAGAGAACAATCATCTAATATAATTTTTTGTTACATGTTGGCTGAAAACTCAAAATTAACATATTTACCATAAATTTTGCAATATTGTCAATACTTGAAGTGTCATTGAGACTCACCATGCATGTTTTCAAAGGTTGGCTGGTCAAAATGTTTGGCTTCTTTGCAGGGCTTCTTTGGATGATCTAAACAAATATAAGTGATAAAACACAAACATATGTGAGATGTTGCTTATGCTAAAATCTGTAATTTTCTAAGAAGCTTGTTCTTTTTACCAACAACAGATATGTCAGTGCTATTAATACATATAAATATCCTAGAAAATGTCATAAAACTTTGTTTTGCAGCTTTCTGATAATGTTTTTCATTTTAAAAGTTAAGAAATATTCACAGTTATTTCAGGTGATATGTTACTGCTTTTTTTACTTTGCTTCAAGTTAAAACACACTACTTGTTTCTAGTTTGCTTACTGTGTGTTCTTTGTGGCAATGGTCTTGTGATCCCATTTGTGGGGGGAGGATTCAGAACATCGAATAGCGTTGGCTTTGCATTACCCAGAAGCCTCGATCGTTGATTTACAAACTTTGGCAGGAATCAGGGTTGCCACTCGAAGGGATTTCTACCTACAGTAGGGATTTTTTGCCTTTTGTAGGTTGTAGGGATAAACCTACGGGATAAAATGCAAAATGTAGGTATAAATCGCTCAAATTGTGGGTATAATCAAGATTGAAGAATTTTCTTTGAGTAAATTTTTATTTGCACAAGAAACATTGAACTCAATGAAATTCCCCGTCCCTGGTATGCATCTTGCGTTCAAATTTGATCTAACACATTCTCCAAAATGAATTGTAACAAAACAAAATTGAGAAACAGATTGGCAGTCCGCACGATTGAGGCCGTAATCCGAGTTGGTGAAGGGTTCCCTGGATGTTTTGAAGTTAGTGCTAGGCTATCGTCTCTCTATTCCAGTGCCAGAGGATCATATATGGAAAGATACAATAATAATGACCGGGAAGACGTTGAGAACATTGAACAGTTTGACTGACTATTTACCTGAAGCAAATTTCCCTTTTTATTGTGTTAATTGGGTAGATTGATTGCCTTTTCTTTGGTTTATATTTGTTTAACTGCTACTTGCATCATATTATTATATTATATCGTTCTAAGGCTATAACAGCTTCATTAAAATAGACAGGTTACAAAGCGAATTGAGTTTTTTTGTCATTGTGTGGGTTGTTTTCGTGGGTATAATTTCGAAATTGTAGGGATTTGTAGGGATAATTGAGGAAAAATGCGTATGGAGAAAGTAGGGAGAAAACGCATGCGCTGTAGGTATATCTGGCTTTCATACAGTGGCAACCCTGGCAGGAATTGGGGTTCGAAATGATGTTTCTGCTTAAATAGGACGGGGTTCGCTTCATCAAGTCTAAACGGCGACAATTTTGAAGCCATTCGCGGCACCTAAAAAAATGGAAAAATATAACCATTCATTATCACAAACATAAATTAAAAAAAAAAGCTTTAGAAAGCGTTTTCTTGAATTTGCAACAATGTAGGGCGTATCTTTAGATCACTCACCGATCGCGGTCTGATGGAAAATGATGGAAGCTCAGCTCCGGGTTCGAAACTGGGTTGTTACTGCAGTTGATCGCAGAGCAGTAAACTCCTTTCGACATCCTCCGCTGATTTTTTAGCGATTTCTCGTTGGAAGACGACATAATTGAAGGTTTAATTGGTCTTTCTTCAGTTTTCCCGCCACGTTCAAAAAACAATTAGAGACAGATACATGCTAAGTCTCGTTCTGAGTTAACGCATGCGCCAAAATTTTCAGGCTTCACCTCATATGCGGGAGTTACCCTTCTGCCTATTTCTATTCTGTGGTCGTGAGTTCGAGCCTCGCTCGGGTCGGTTATTTTCCCGCACTCTCTATTAAATAGGCAGTTGTAGAATTGGGTCAGCCACAAAAAGCCAGATATGACGTTGTGTAAGGCGAAATTGCCACGTAAAAAATCCATAGATTTTCAAAACGCTTTTGCAAAATAGGGTGTTCTGCTAAATTGTGGTTCTGCTAAATTGCTAAGGGTGTGGTCAGCAAAAATTTTCTCCTCTTTGCCCCTCCAATCTTCCAAACCTGGCTATGCCACTGCTTCTTATCGTCTTTACCTTAAAGTTAAAAACGGAATTCTAAAATGGGCGTTTCCATAATTTACCAGTGACCTGAAGGGTGCGGCACAAAAATTAGTGTCTAACACCCCCCCCCTAATAATTGTTGCTTAGATCTGCCCCTGTTCATCAGTTCCATGGAATAGCAAATCCAGCCTCTCGGTACTTGAATATTATTCACAAATTGGTGGTCGTAACTCGACTTGAAGTCTGTGATCATCTTTCCATATTCATATCTATACTGATAAGCCCCATTGGTCTGCAAGACCCGTACATGAGAATTTCCCTTTTAAGTGCAGCATCTTGAATTGTACTTGGATAAGGGCCAGATCAGTGGGATAAGTTTTGGGTATATTGAATTTGAATTGTGTATCTGCAGCAAAATTTTTCTGCTTTTACTTGCTAAAGGTTTTAGAGTCAGTCTCAAAATTAGACCTTCGTTCTTCTTCTATCTTTTCTTCGATGCCAAGCTCCCCTTCTTTGAAAGAAGCAGCACTTTCAATAAACTCCACAGGACATTCTGAAGTTGACGTAGGTGAACTGGGTTTGAGATATCTTCTCTGCTTTCTTCTGGTTTTGTTGAGGGAACAATTTTTTCCTATTTTCCGTGTATTGGAATGAGCAGCTTCAATTTTTCGTTTCTTTACTGCTCTCTTGAAAGCTCCAGAATTATGTTTTCGTCTTGAAGAGATTTTAGCCAAATGATTTACAAAAGATTGTGAAGTTTGAAACAGCCGTTATACACTGGTGGACCTCACGCAGTAAACTTTAATATTTGTTTATTAGCGCAAGGAGGACAATGTGCCCTCTTCATAGAAATGCCCTCGACGTCAGCTGTTTGCTGTTATCAAAAGATTCATACCAACTTCTGAATGTACTCTTTTAGTCAAGTCAACATTTCTCAAAACATGTAAAGAAATTTCTTATGCCAAAAGCTAGCCGATTTTCAACTTACTAACGGCATATCGAAACAAAACGACAGTTACGAAAGAATTGTTAGTAGCTTGGAATTATGTTTCAAAATGCCCTTTTAATCAAGCCTGCCTCTTTGCCTCTTGGTCCTTCCAGCGTCCCTGATTGTGGGATGTAAACGGGAGAGGCATGTGTGATTCAAACTGAATCGCAACGTATATACTCAAAGTGTGTAATAAAAGAATAATGGCGAAACTTGATTCCATGACGCTCAACACGAGGAAACAATTTAACTATAAATTTGAGATTCAATTGTACGTAGAAAAAATGAAGAGATGTAAGTTAGCATAATAATAGGGCCTCGAGATCCAGGGCCACATAAAGTAGTGAATTCTATTTCAAGAATTGAATTAATTAAACGAAATAAGAGTATTATAAACAAACTTGAATGCGTTTAATAAGAAATGGGGAAACAAAATTTCTTCGAATTTAATAATAAAATTGTACCTACAGTCTGAAGACAATTTCGAAAACCGACAGTTATGACAGGAAAAGTTGGTCTTACTATTGGGTTTTCCATGGTGCTAAATTCATTGCTGCTAATTAAAATTCGAAAATTTTACTCGCAATGAATTTTTGGAGGGTGTGGGGGTGAGTGATGCCTGAATAGAGGGCTTCTACGGTTGGGGTTCTTTCTCTAAAAAGGAATGATATACTTTAATTTTTTGTAAATATCATCGCAACTATCATTATTTAACAAACCTCAGCACAGATTGATTGGGTAGAATAAAATTACGATGTAAAAAGCAAAAACAGTACACTGCAGAACTTTTGAAGAAATGGGTTTTACTAGAAACTTCCGTTTTTTACGGCTCTATTTATTAATCGAAGAAGAGGAAATACGTAGGTTTTTCTATAAAATACGTAATTTATATGATCTTTCTATTGCTTTAGATCCTTAATTGTGTCTTCCAACTAAACGCTCTAGGTCAAAATGCAACCGCAAAATGCACACACGAACGGGAATGGGCCGAGCCAGACAAGGCACAGCGAAAAATGTTCTTGAAACCGGGTCCGCATGATCTAAATAGCGTTAATCTACAATTCTAAAATTTAGATCCAAGATTGTATCTTTGAAATATGGTTCGATTTACCATCTGTTGCTTTAGAATATAGATTAAAGTCTATTGTCTAAATCATCTCCTGTTTTCTAAAGGCGCAAGCACGGCGGTTCGAATACTGTAGATATACAAATGGCAACAGTTTTTTCAAGAAATACATACCTAAAGCAATGCTTTATAGTCAAACTATCAAAAGTCTGGGACATATATCTTTTATTCTTCACATACTAAAATTGTGTGTTATTAAAACCTTGTGTTTTTCAAATGCCTGAGCAACCGGATTTTTAGATCAACTTCACTGGGTCGAGTGGGCATCTCGGTGTTGAGACAACTATTCTTGCGCATCTTCCCCTTCCTTTACAATTAGAAAAGCGATTACTGCTTCTGCACATTGCAGCCTTCATCTTAGTCAAATGTTTATGCGGAGAAGACGTTTTTCGAAAAATTTTGCCCCAGAAGGGATAAAAGAAAGGCAACATATATTTCACAGCCAAAACGCTACGAGTAAGTGACAATGACGCAAAATTGATCATCGACTCCGTCGATGATCAATTAAAAACCAGCCAGGCTCATAGGTTTGTCACATCACTACGCAGAGAAGATGGTCCAATCAGAGTGGAAATTGTTCAATCAGCAATAAACTTTCTAGACCAGCGCATGAACATTGAGCAAGATGAAACAATCAACAATTTAAAAAAGATATTGGATGCAAGTTCACCAGCGCAGATGATAAATGCCAGCAGAGATCTTGTGAGCCAGTTATTTGGAGAGGACAAGGTTGAAGAGTTTGTCTCTGATGTCTGCATGTCATGGACAAACCTAAGCAAAGTTCAAGTCTATAGCCAGATAGAAGATTCTGGCACACTCTATGCATTGAAGCTGAGAAAAATGACAGAGGCCAGCATTGGTTTGCTCAGAAAATTCCTTGCTTCCTTCCTCACCTTGACACCACATAGCATGGCAACAGAGAGAGCTGTCTCCCATTATAATAATATCAAAATATCCAGCAGAGCATCACTAAAGCCAGAATGCATGAACTGGCTTGGTTTGCATGAACTACCGAGCTCTCTCTCGTACACCTCCTTCACTCTGTGTCGATGAATCATAGAATTTCAATCATTTCAATCAAAACTCGTTTGAATGGTAAATTAAATGCCTAGTGTATTCCAGCCTTAAGACATTGAAGCGTCCATTTTGTTGCGTCAATTAAAGACATTGAAGCTGTCATTAAAGTTGCCATTAAAGCGGCCATTCTGTTCCTATGGTTTCAACCCTATTTCAATACAAAGTTAACCTGATTTTAACGTGGGTGAATAACTATTTCTATACAAAGCTTGACCTGATTTTATCGAGCGTGGCAGGCATTCCTTCATCTGGGTTGAGGCGGATTCACGTTTTTCTGCCTTATCTGATTTTATTGGAAATTGGAGAGTTCAAAATCGGTTCTAAATCCAATCTGAGATCAGGTAAGTGTTTTCTTTAATTTTCGCATATTGTTCCGATCTTTACAAGTATAACTCAAAGATAGCAAAACCTAGAACAAATGGCAACAGTTTTTTTTCTCATGAAATTCAAACCTCAAGCAATGCTTTATAGTCAATCGGTGGTATCTTTAGCACTAGTTTAGAAACTTGGTGTTCGCAAAATATGTATTTATAAAATGTGTAAATTGTGCAAAAGTTTAATTTTTTGAAACATTCTTCTTTCTATTATTGGCTGTTAACGATAGAACCAGACTTGGGTTTATTGGACACCTAGTGTTTACACTCCTAATTGACCAATAGGCAATTCTCAGTTTCCTTATAAATGCTATGTACTTCCACTTCGTCTAATCCAATAGACGGATTGTCTTGTATAAGTAAAAGGAAATTAATTCCTACTTCATAGGAATATCATTAAATAATATTGGAAAGCTGCCAAAATTATATCAAATCATATAATTATATTTTGATGATATCTACAAATATATCTTAAAATCATTTGAGCAAAATTTCACATTTTAACAAATTTTGTCTTTATTTTCTTCAACAGATGCTAACATGCAGTTGTTACACGTCGCATTGCTAACAGCAACCGTTTTCATTGCACTTGTGACCATTTTACTAAATTCAATGAAAATGCACATGAAAAGTCAACCGAGCTTTAGAAGAACCTTTCCATTAAGAAACCTTTGGGATGGCGTCCCTGAGTTTGTGCTATACTTGAGATTAACTTCTAGTCCGCGTTGGGAGCAAGAATATAGAAATAATTTGGTTCGCACTATGAAGCTTTTCTTTCCACCTGAACGAGCGAAACTTGTAGTTGTATTGGACAACGAAAAGAAAGAAGACCATTTGTTTGGAGACAAAATAAAAACAGAATGGCCATATCCACAAATATGCTACAGAGATCCAAGTTCCATTGATGCATACCGCGGATGGGGCAAGGCCAGAATGTTTTGGGACATGATGTATCCCGATAAATGTACCAATGTATCTTATGTGGGGTATGTCGATACTGATACATTTTTTAGCACCTTAGTAACACCACAGTTGCTATTTGACAATGGAAAACCAATTATTATTGCAAAAATTGGCCAGGTTCCGTACCAATGTTGGGCTGAAACAACAGAGTTGTTTCTCGGCAAAAAAGAAGCTATGCAATGCATGTCAACTTTCCCTGTTATGATAAAAACGGAGCATATGATAGAAATGAGAGAGGTCCTTGCAAGAAATCACAGCATGGATTTTGATTCAGTTTTTAAAAACACTCCACGTCAAATGCATTGTCTTTGTCAGTTTAGTATCATGTGCAATTATGTTTGGTACTATCACAGAAATGAGTACTCATGGCGCTTGCAGATGGTCCCAAATGGTGACTGGAGAGGAGAACATTTGCTTGCTAGTCAAGTGTCACTAGATTATTATCGGACTAACGTACCCCCAGAGATGACGATACCAATGCCGCGCTCATCAATTCACCTGAGGTACACAATAACAAATGGTCAGTCCTATCTGTCAGAAGTCCCTCCAAAGGAATATATCGAAGATTTTATTAAAGAAGGACTTTGTTACTCAGCTGGATTTGATGTCTGTCCGGAAAGTTGCAAAAAATGGAACCAGGCAAAGATACATTACAATCTTTATTCGTTTGAATTCTATCAATGGTTTTGGGACAAAAGGTGCATGGAAGAGCAAGAAAAGCATTACAGAAACGTCAAAGAGCTAGTTCGCTACTATGTTTTTTCAAAGATGGAAGTTTTTGGACTTTCTTCTCTAGATCAACTATGTACCATATTATGAAAATATTTATATATTTTCCATTTTATGGCAACAAATTTTGCGTTTCTTCTTCTCATTCGCTGTTGAGTAGTGCAGTAGCTGAGAATTTTGCAATGATTCAGCACAACGAAATTATAGAAACTGTAGCGGGGTTCATTTTAACGTGCAGTGGTAGCCAATTTGGGCATTGATAAATCGTAAATGTACATTGATACACAATCGTAAATTTTTTTGCAGTGAAAAACCAAAAACAAAAGACATTTAGTAGTATTTAGTTATTAAAAGGTAAAATTGCAGCAACTACCAGTAAAGAACACATAAAGATTATAATAGGGCATCACAATAATAAAAAGGAGAACATAACAGTAACAATGATCTATGAAATCTCTGTAAAATTTTATCGAATTCAGTATCTAGAAGCTATCTAGTTTTTTTTCCATCTTCTTCTTTGTGATGTTTGTTCTCGAAAACTGTTTTAAATCTAGAACACTTTCCCTCGTTGAAATCTCTTGTGAAGCTAGAATGAAAGGTGGTGTAGTTCGAGAAATTTACATACAGTTAGTTTGATAGGTGCGGTCATAAACAATTTTCAAAGGCAACACCAAAATTTTCAAAAATTTTGAAAATGTGCAGTGTTAAAAATTTCTTAAAATTCCTTAAAATTCCTATCCAAATAGATATATAATGTAATGTTATTTTGTCGGAAAAGCAAGTAGATTTTAACTCAACTTGGAAGCAAAATTATAAAGTACATTATTATAGAAAACCAAATATTTGAGGGTATGTCAACCATTGTGAATTCTTGGTTATATAGAATCACAAGAAACCAAACTCAACTATATAGAATCTTAAAAAACAAAATTGTGTTTGTGGAGTGAAATTTACTAGCGATGTAATATATATTGTTTATCAAACTTTAATATCGTCTGACTTTTCGAAGTATGTCAATTAGACGGACAAAACTGATGACGATAAAGAAATGTAAAAATAGCAATTGCACAACAATAATAATAATAACAATAATAATAATAACAATAATAATAATAATAATAATAATAATAATAATAATGATATCTTTATTTACAGTTGGTTTGAGCGATAGTTAATATACATATATATATATGTAAAGCTAATTAATAACAACTATTTATATACAAAAATGAAATAGTTCAATATTAATCTACCTATTTACATATTTTACAGCTACATTTGTCTTCATTCTAGGCATATATGCCTCTTTTAAATTTGGCTACGTTTTCCACATTTTTTATCGTATCAGGCAAGGTGTCCCAGAAAATGCTCCCCCGGAATGCCAATGAATTTATCCCAAATGATAACGTTTGGTAGGCAAAAGTTGCAGCGTATTTTTCATTCCTAAATTATAAGTCAATTCTCTCTGTACGTAAAACTCTCTCACGAATGAAGGACTCTCATAATTTAATGATTTGTATATCTCTGTCATTCAAAGGTGGATTTATAATCACAAAACAGCTCGCGTACTGCACGTTTATTAGCTCGATTTATCTCCTTATTACATTGCTTTCCACATAAAATCCAAATGAGAGGATAATAGTTGAAATTTGATAACAGAAAGGAATTGTATAGTAATTTTGCCTTGCCTATATCTAGGGAGTTAGCCGCCCTAGAAAATGCTTTCACAATTTGATTCATTTTATGACATAGGGTTTTGATATGCTGGTCAAATTTAATGCCAGCATCGATTGTGACGCATAGAAGTTTAACGCTGTCTGATAAGTATAAGGTATTTCCATTTATTTCAATAAAAATTTCTTTGTATCAGTTTTGGTTCCAAGGACCATCATCTGGAACCTAGGTTGATTAGCTACCATGCTGTTCGATTCGAACCATTTTAGAGCTTGACATAGATCTTCTTCTATGCCAACAAAGATTTCATCCAAATCACTACCACAAGAGTAAATGTTAATTGTTAAACAACTAATGTTAAATTGTCTTCAATTTACTTTCCGGTCCGTGTTGTTTGACCATACAACTGTATGATTCAAATTCGAAACTGGTGAAATTATTTTGAAGAATTTTCGCTCTGAAATTTTAATGTACTCTGATATTGAAGTTTTGAAAGAATAATATTTCCACGGCATCGAATATCTTTCTATATCTGTCTATAAATTATATATCCCAATAGATGTTTATTTAATTTGAGCGTCATCTTTTTTGTGTGCGTTTCATCATTTAAGCTTTTCTTTGCCTTTCTCTGCAAAAATTTTCCTTAATTTTTTGTCCATTGAAGTAAAATGTTGGAAATGCACAAATGTTTCTCTAGAATGGCACAAAAAAGGATTAGCACTGTACATTTTGTGCCCTACCTTTACCACTATGTCTCAATGACAGCTCTAAATTCTCGTACTCCTCCTTAGCGACGGAGTCGATGATGAAATAGAATTTACCAATCAAACGAGACTTACCTGTAAGCGAAGTTTGATTGAAATTCTATGACCCATCGACACGGAGTGAAGGAGGTGTACGCCCAGCCCGCCTTTTTTCTTTGCATACCCGCCCAAGTTCATTCGAACATTTTTTCATTTTGTCATTGATCCATGGCTGCTCTAAAGACTGGTTTGCATGAACTACCGAGCTCTCTCTCGTACACCTCCTTCACTCCGTGTCGATGAATCATAGAATTTCAATCATTTCAATCAAAACTCGTTTGAATGGTAAATTAAATGCCTAGTGTATTGCAGCCTTAAGACATTGAAGCGTCCATTTTGTTGCGTCAATTAAAGACATTGAAGCTGTCATTAAAGTTGCCATTAAAGCGGCCATTCTGTTCCTATGGTTTCAACCCTATTTCTATACAAAGTTAACCTGATTTTAACGTGGTTGAATAACTATTTCTATACAAAGCTTGACCTGATTTTATCGTGCGTGGCAGGCATTCCTTCATCTGGATTGAGGCGGATTCACGTTTTTCTGCCTTACCTGATTTTATTAGAAATTGGAGAGTTCAAAATCGGTTCTAAATCCAATCTGAGATCAGGTAAGTGTTTTCTTTTAATTTTCGCATATTGTTCCGATCTTTACAAGTATAACTTAAAGATAGCAAAACCTAGAACAAATGGCAACAGTTTTTTTTCACGAAATACATACCTCAAGCAATGCTTTATAGTCAATCGGTGGTATCTTTAGCACTAGTTGAGAAACTTGGTGTTCGCGAAATATGTATTTAAATAATGTGTAAATTGTGCAAAAGTTTAATTTTTTGAAACATTCTTCTTTCTACTATTGGCTGCTAAGGATAGAACCAGACTTGGGTTTATTCGACACTTATCGTTAACACTCCTAAGTGTCCAATAGGCAATTCTCAGTGTCCTTATAAATGCTATGTACTTCCACTTCGTCTAATCCACTAGGCGGATAGTGTTGTATAAGTGAAAGGAAATTTATTCCTATTTCATAGGAATATCATTAAATAATATTGGAAAGCTGCCAAAATTATATCAAATCATATAATTATATTTTGATGATATCTACAAATATATCTTAAAATCATTTGAGCAAAATTTCACATTTTAACAAATTTTGTCTTTATTTTCTTCAACAGATGCTAACATGCAGTTGTTACACGTCGCATTGCTAACAGCAACCATTTTCATTGCACTTGTGACCATTTTACTAAATTCAATGAAAATGCACATGAAAAGTCAACCGAGCTTTAAAAGAACCTTTCCATTAAGAAACCCTTGGGATGGCGTTCCTGAGTTTGTGCTATACTTGAGATTAACTTCTAGTCCGCGTTTTGAGCAAGAATATAGAAATAATTTGGTTCGCACTATGAAGCTTTTCTTTCCACCCGAACGAGCAAAACTTGTAGTTGTATTGGACAACGAAAAGAAAGAAGACCATTTGTTTGGAGACAAAATGAAAACGGAATGGCCATATCCACAAATATGCTACAGAGATCCAAGTTCCATCGATGCATACCGCGGATGGGGCAAGGCCAGAATGTTTTGGGACATGATGTATCCCGATAAATGTACCAATGTATCTTATGTGGGGTATGTCGATACCGATACATTTTTTAGCACCTTAGTAACACCACAGTTGTTATTTGACAATGGAAAACCAATTATTATTGCAAAAATTGGTCAAGTTCCGTACCAATGTTGGGCTGAAACAACAAAGTTGTTTCTCGGCAAAAAAGAAGTTATGCAGTGCATGTCAACTTTCCCTGTTATGATAAAAACGGAGCATATGATAAAAATGAGAGAGTTCATTGCAAGAAATCACAGCATGGATTTTGATTCAGTGTTTAAAAACACTCCAGGCACAATGGCTTGTCTTTGTCAGTTTAGTATCATGTGCAATTATGTTTGGTACTATCACAGAAATGAGTACTCGTGGCGCTTGCAGATGGTCCCAAATGGTGACTGGAGAGGAGAACATTTGCTTGCTAGTCAAGTGTCACTAGATTATTATCGGACTAACGTACCCCCAGAGATGACGATACCGATGCCGCGCTCATCAATTCACCTGAGGTACACAATAACAAATGGTCAGTCCTATGACTCAAAAGTCCCCCCAAAGGAATATATCGAAGATTTTATCAAAGAAGGACTTTGTTACTCAGCTGGATTTGATGTCTGTCCGGAAAGTTGCAAAAAATGGAACCAGGCAAAGATACATTACCATCTTTATTCATTTGAATTCTATCAATGGTTTTGGGACAAAAGGTGCAAGGAAGAGCAAGACAAGCATTACAGAAACGTCAAAGAGCTAGTTCGTTACTATGCTTCTTCAAAGATGGAAGTTTTTGGACTTTCGTCTCTAGATCAACTTTGTACCATATTATGAAAATATTTATTTATTTTCCATTTTATGGCAACGAATTTTGCATTTCTTCTTCTTAGTCGCTGTTGAGATCTCTTAAGTTTGCTATAAATTTATCATAGATGAAATGTGCAGTAGCTGAGTGTTTTGCAATGATTCAGCACAATGAAATTATAGAAACTGTAGCGGGGTTCATTTTAACGTGCAGTGGTAGCCAATTTGGGCATTGATAAATCGTAAATGTACAGTGATACACTCAAATTTGTTGCAGTGAAAAACCAAAAACAAAAGATATTTAGTAGTATTTAGTTATTAAAAGGTAAAATTGCAGCAACTACCAGTAAAGAACACATAAAGATTATAATAGGGCATCACAATAATAAAAAGGAGAACATAACAGTAACAATGATCTATGAAATCTCTGTAAAATGTTATCGAATTCAGTATCTAGAAGCTATCTAGTTTGTTTTTTTCATCTTCTTCTTTGTGATGTTTGTGCTCAAAAATTCTTTTAAATCTAGACCACTTTTCCTCGTTGAAATCTCTTGTGAAAGCTAGAATGAAAGGTGGTGTAGTTCGAGAAATTTACATACAGTTAGTTCGATAGGTGCGGTCATAAACAATTTTCAAAGGCAACACCAAAATTTTCAAAAATTTTGAAAATGTGCAGTGTTAAAAATTTCTTAAAATTCCTTAAAATTCCTATCCAAATAGATATATAATGTAATGTTATTTTGTCGGAAAAGCAAGTAGATTTTAACTCAACTTGGAAGCAAAATTATGAAGTACATTATTATAGAAAACCAAATATTTGAGGGTATGTCAACCATTGTGAATTCTTGGTTATATAGAATCACAAGAAACCAAACTCGACTATATGGAATTTTACGAAATAAAATTGTGTTCGTGGAGTGACATTTACTGCGATGTAATATATAATGTTTATCAAACTTTAATATCGTCTGACTTTTCGAAGTTTGCCAATTAGACGGACAAAACTGATGACGATAAAGAAATGTAAAAATAGCAATTGCACAACAATAACAATAATAATAATAATAATAATGATATCTTTATTTACAGTTGGTTTGAGCGATAGTAAATATACAAAGATATATATGTAAAACTATTTAATACCAACTATTTATATACAAAAAATGAAATAGTTCAATATTAATCTACCTATTTACATATTTTACAGCTACATTTGTCTTCATTCTAGGCATATATGCCTCTTTTAAATCTGGCTACGTTTTCCACATTTTTTATCGTATCAGGCAAGGTGTTACAGAGAATGCTCCCCCGGAATGCCAATGAGTTTATCTCAAATGATAACGTTTGGTAGGCGCAGGGGCGTAACTTGGCCAATAGGTTTGGGGGGGTGAAAAGGGTTTCTGCCCTGCAAAACTGAGTGTTGCCCTGCAGACCTCGTAGCAACGGTTTGTCTATAGGTTGCTAGTGACAGCTTTACCAGTGTACACTGGTCTTTACCAAGGACAAACTTCTAAGCAATAAAAACAAATTTGAAACTTCATTGCCTATGAAATATCTATTTCTCTACGTGAGCATGATTTTTTTTATTCATTTCATTTAATGTTGGTTTGCAAAATACTAGCTAATAAACAGCTAATGGGGGGGGGGTGGGATACATGATGTAGACAGCGCAACAAAATTTAGCCCAGGGGGACTAAGAATCAAGTTTAGTGAGGTAGGAGGACCCACCATGGTGGAAAGCATCTAAAAAGCATCTTTCAGACAAAAATTTAGCAAAAATACTATTATGCTAAAAGAACTGATTGTTTATTGAAAATATTATTGTTTATTGGGAAAAATAGGGAGGGGGAATATCATGCTAAAACTCTAGTATTGAACGTTGGGGAAGGAAAGAAACGGCAACCTTTCGTTTCAGATTGCACATAGTTGTGAATGACAGAGGAAGATGTTGTTTTGATTTGGAGAATTTTTTTTCCTGAACAGAAATGTGCAGTTTCTTGTATCAAGAAGGCCATGTTTACACATCCAAAATAAAAACATTGCAATGATACAAAAAATGATTTACTGAATTAATGCAAATAAAAGAAAAATGATAAAAATATACGTGAAAAAGTTAGGAATTAGATGAAACAAAATTGGTATCTCAACGATTTATTATGTTTTTTAGTTCATGCACTGTTAAAAAGTAATATATAAAATGATAAAAAATTCTTTTCTTGACCAAAGTGGGGGCTTTCAGCTCTCTATTCCCCCCAGTGGCGCCATACCTGTCATGAAAATAATTTACAACTTAAATTAATTTGCATGGACTCAATCTTGCCTTCATAAACTTATGCATCTATCATTGCATCCATTGGCTATGACTTTCGGTAAGAAATGCTTTCGCTTTGCAAATAACGGAGCTTTTCCTCACATACCTGTTCCGGTCTCTAAAATGCAATGTCAGGAAGGGAGGTTCATAAAAAATACGATATTTCCATTTCAAAATTCCTAAACGGCCCTTTACGAACTTCAGATGTCGCGTTTCTGCGTGGCCATAAAGCTCTTCTTGGCGCCCTGCGAAATCTTCGATTGCCCTGCGAAATCGACTATTTTCTGGATTGGGGGGGTGTCACCCCCCCCCCCACACCCCCCCGGTATTTTCGCCCCTGGGTAGGCGAAAGTTGCGGATTCCGCCGCAACAAGCCATATTAAACACTCACTAAGAAAGTAACAAGCGCTTGTCATTGTAGTAACCTTATTGACTATGCGCAGGAGCATTACTTTATGTGACCCATGTTTATATAGTTTCAGATTACAGCTGACAGTATTACAGTTATGTGTGTATGCCGTTTGAAGTTAATATAAAGTTATCGTTCTGTTCTGTTCAACCCATGCGTTGTTCTATCTCCTTCACATCTTAACATTGGCGACGAGAATGTCTGTACCACTCAATCCATTACCACCATTCGATTCGAATGCAGAACTTGGAGCGAGTGTTGCTGCTAGATGGAAACTTTGGCTACGTTATTTTGATACTTTTCTTGTGGCTGGCGGAATTCGAGACGTTAAGCGCCAGAAAGCTTTGTTACTTTATCAAGCTGGACCCAAAGTTCGAGAAATTTTTAACCAGTTGAGTGATGTCAACGGAGAAGGGGATGAAGACACCTTTGCGACAACAAAAGCAAAGCTCATTGAGTACTTCGAGCCTCAGAAAAATTGACGGTACGAAGTTTA